GTTGGGCAAAATCTGTCAGCTAGCTCATTAGCCGGAAACGGCCAGCAGAGCCCGTACTGGGCTCGACGAAAGAGATGTGGTGGTACGAAAATGCATGATGGAATTGCTGATATGTAGTATCAATTTGCATTTTGTAAAGATATCGTATTCCACTGTTTTCTGGCACCGTACTACCTGTGTCTCCTTTGTGCTTTTTTGCCTTCTTTCCGGTCCATCACATTTTTATTTGCCTTCATTTATTTCCGGTCTCCTCTTTATCTCTTGAATCAGGCATCTGATTTCAGAATTGTATCAATGACAATATCATGAAAAAAAAAATTTTTTTTTCCATTCCACAGCATCTAATTATGCGCTCCCTCCGCGTGCGAACGGTTCTTAAATATTGCCTTAAACTTGAACTCCCTGTGACTTTCTAATGTCAATATTTCCCGGCAGGACTGACCCGTGATGAGCACGATAAATCTGGAAAGGAAAAGCTCACCATTGAATGGTTTTTCATCCCATTCTGCTCCACTTTTTTCATGGACATCGTTACGCACCTGGAACTCGGTGTGTTTATGCAACAGGCTATCGCGGCCTCACACACGGTGAATGTTAGAAAAACAGGAGTGATTTAACCACACCACACATAGGTTTTTTTTATCACCCCATAGCATTAAAAATGTCTCAATTTTGGTTCCGAACTTGCTTTGTTCTTGAATTTTAGTGCCAGCTTGTATTTGAATGTAGGATCGCAAGTTAAACAGGGCACAGCAAGATTAAAAGTCTCATCTTCTGTCACTTATATTGCCGTTAGCTATCAGACATCGTAATTGCTCCATTTTAAAGATGTAGAAGCGAGCCGATTCACGTTTGTGACCTTGCGCATAGCTAAGGACTTTCCTTAAAAATTACAAATGTCCATTTTTTTTTGACTCGTGAGCCATGAAATTTGATCCTGTGCTCATAATTGGAGAAGGCGAATTAAAGGCAGGTTTTCATCTTGGACTTGTCGCTGTCATTTTTAAGCCTTGTGCATAAAATTCGGGGTTTTCAGTCTTTTTAGTTTGGAGTTCTAGAAGTTCCCTAAATTTGAACTAGGCCAGAGACCAAAATATTGAAATGACCTGTGAGATGATTTCGATTTCGAGGCCTTGCACAGGCTTAGGACTTTCTTAATATCATTTCAATCTAATCCGGAGTTGAAATACATAATCAGGGTCAAATACAGGTAAATAACAAAAATACACAAAAACTCGTTAACTTACGTCTACAAAAATGCACATTCCTTAAATGTTTTATTACTTC